CCCCAAAACCCCAAAACCCCAAAACCCCAAAACCCCAAGTGGATCTTATATGAAGATTTTGAGAAATTGATAAATTCAAATAACCGAAAAAAATTTATAAAATGGTTGAATCACTAGCTTTATTCTAAAACGATAAAGTACCCTCTATATATGATGTTCCCACTTAAGTACTATAAACCAAAGTGCTCTGTCATTTTAGTTCAAAAGAACTATTTATGTTAAGAGGTGTATGTGGAGATTGGTCAGATTCCATAAAGATCATTTGGTGTCATATTGTGAAGGAAGAGATGCTTGAATAAGTGCATTCGTTAGATTTGCTTTACGAAAAAGAAACAACTGCAAAGCTTTTAGAATTCAAAATAAGGTACTTAGTATCTTATGCTACTCTTATGAGGAACTACTTTTTACATATGAATTTTGAGGAGATTGTATAAGATCTATTCTATAGAGAGGATCAAAGAGGAAAATAGATTCTGTTGATTGCATGCATGATTGTTGCCCCATAATCACTTGTAAATTGATCAAAATTTTCTTTATCATCTAATTTAGGACTACCCATCTGAATTCAGTTAAATTACAGAACAGCACATCAGAGAGGCCTCTCATTACATGCTTACTACATAATTTAAGCAATAATTTGCATAGATGTGCTAAATGGAGACCATCCCAGATGTTTCCTTAGGCTAGATGAAAGTGATAAAGAGTGAATTTATTGAGAATATCATCACTCCTGATGTGATTGATCAGCTTGGTAACGCAGCTAGATTACTTAACTCATGGATTGACGGTGCTTTAGAATATACTATCCTAAAGCATGAGGTACTAGTTCTCAGGTTAAAAAATAACAAAGTACATGAAAAGATTAAGTACATTTCAGCTTTATGGCCTAAAAAGAAGCAGTTCATAGAAGGGGCTTATAAGATTCTACTTTTTACTAAATCTCAAAGACTTTAGATAAATTGTGTAATGAATGCATTAAGATAACGTGGTCTCTTTGAATTCATGGATTTTAAGGATGCTGTTAACCGAGTGCTGAAGAAATGGTATGAGTAAAGAATACAAGAAGAAACTGAAAGAAATAAAAAACTAAGAGAGTTGCATGATAACTTGACTAAAATGAAGATACTTAGAGAGGAGGAATAAATCAGACAATAATAACTAGAAATTGATAAGCAAGGTTAGAAGAAAGACGATCCAGTAGTAGAGAGTTAGTAATTAGAAGTTGAATAAGACATCAAAGATAGAAAAGAAAAACTTGAGCATGAGATGGAGTAACTTAAACAGGAGATCTAGAAGACGAATGAATAGATTGAAGAGACAAAGGAGTAGATAATTCAGAAAAAATAGGAGCAAGAATAAGCACCTATTGAAGAAGTGAAAGTGGAAAGCAAATAGATAGAGGAAAGTAACGATCTATAAGAAGTACAGTCATTATCTGTCCAAACAGAAACACAAACAGAGCCAGCAAATTAATAGTAAGAAGAAGAGGTTAAGCAAAGTGAATAGATTGACACATAAGTAGCTTAAGAATCACAACAGCAATAATAAGTTAATTAAAACTTATTCTCCTCTTAACTACTTTCTTAAATCTTGCAAGTTGGTACTCTTTTCACTCAGAAAGCGTTGCAAGATGAAAACGAAGAACAAGATGACGATGAAGAGTTTGATCACTATGAGAACTATATTTCTCCAGAGGAGCTTAGGCAAGAGATATATGAGAACATCCTTAAAAGAAGAATATTTAATGCAGACAGAATGGAGAAAGTTGAGAAGGTACTGCTAAATATGGAATTAATCCCCAAGGATTAAATCTACTGCTCTCAAGTGATGCTAGAAGAGTTCAAAAACAAGATATTTGCAGAGAATGGCAGTCTTCTGTTGAAGATCTACGAACAAGTCAATCTTGACAAAGAGGAATTATGGTTTGAGATATATCGTTCCATTTCTAACCAGTCAGCCGAGAGCTAGGAGCTTGAAAGAAAGAAGGAAAAACGAATTGAAAGAAGACGCAGACGACTACTTAAGATTTAGCATGATTTAAAGATCAAGAGATTGAGAGAACTAGAGGAGGACTTCCAGAGGAGAAGACAAATCAATGCCTAAAGAGGAACAAGAAGATCGGGCTCTGAGGGTAGGTACAATGAACCTAGCCAAACTCCAAGAAGAGGGAGAAGAAGCAGCTAAAGAAGATACGAGCACTATCACCCTGATAATAACCAAAATTCAACCTAAGCTCAAGTCCAAGCTTCATTACCTAATGTTATAGTTGGCATTGCTGCTTTGAGATACTTACTTGATACAGCTCTTTAAGCCGCTTAGAGAAGACAAGACCATTAGAACAGCTTAGTTCAGTAGATCAATCAAGCTTAAAACGCAATCAATGATTTACAAGATATGGCCGTTCAAACTGAGAGTGTAAATGAGGCACTACTGTAATAGGCAATGGAGTTGGAAAATCAGCAATAACAGCTACAGTAACTCAATAATTAATAAGAGGTATAACATTAAGATTAAGATCAAGATCAAGATGAAAATGAAGATGAAAATGTGTGATTATAATGACAAAAGCAAAACCAGCCCGAACTAACTTCGAAGTCTTTGTTGATAACTTTCATTCTAATATCTTTCTTAACCCCTAAAAATCTATATCGTTAACTAGCGGGGTTTTGGGGTTTTGGGGTTTTGGGGTTTTGGGGTTTTGGGG